CAAAACATGATAAATTCCATACAATAGCATCTCAACATAAATTTACAAACAACTCATGCTATACTTATTTAATAATGGAATTCAAATAAATAAATAAAAAACTAATCATGCTACTTTAATTGCAACATATTACAAACCCAAAAAATATGCTGTATACAATATTCAGATTATGCCATAATTAAAGTGTACATCATTTTTGAAATTTTCTGGAATTTTAAATAACTAATAAACACACATAAAATTAAAAATAAAAAATCCAGAAACTGATAAACAGAAACAATATTCAGATTATGCCATAATTAAAATGTACATCATTCTGAAATATTCTGAAATATTCTGGAATTTTAAATGACTAATAAATACACATAAAATTAGAAATAAAAAAATTCAGAAACTGATAAAATGAGACAATATTACCAGTAAATAATAAAACCTTTCAGAAGTCTAAAATAAATATTCCAACCCCAGAAAAATATTTATGCAATACCAGAAGCATTTTAAAGCATAAAACATGAATTATTAACACAGAAAAAATAATTTATATTTTCTGAAAATTTTCAAAATTTTACAGAATGTAGAAAAATTAATTCTGAGTCTAACAGTATATCTAGGAATCACTCCCAGAACTGGGCATCACACCTAATGTTAGAATTGTATCACACTAATTCAAAGAAGCTATAAAAGCTCTGAAGATTCTCTAAAAACTTGACTCTATTAATTAAAAATCATTACCCGGCTTTTGTTCCTAACCTGCTCTGCTTTTAAATAGCTTGTTTGTGTTGTAAACGCCTACTTTTCCTTTTTCATTGCTTTTGTTTTAGTTTATTATACATTTTTTAAAAATCTTTTATCTAGTCTGTGAGTTTATTTGGAATCCGATAAGCTTACAGTTAGTAGCTGGCCAGTGCTAGATCAGATGATTTGGAAATTTGAGAGATTAAATCTATATTCCTCATTGAGTTAAGACATTTTATTTCGGATTGACTATTGAGTGAGTTCATTCTCTCGTCTCTACTTGTAGCATCCATTCTAGGGGAACCTACATGGATCTCAAACGCCACACCAGAAGGCTAAATAGGTAAGTTTCTTCAAAGGGCTATCAGTCCACCAGCAGCAGCCCAGTAAAAATTTAAGGTTGTGTTTGGATGTGCAGAATCATTTTATTGTTTGGTGGTTATTGTTTGGTGTTGTTTTATCTTATTTGTTTTAAAATTTGCACCTAACCCCTTTATAATTTTTTTTGGAACTAAATGTTATATGAGGATCTACCTGCAATTGACTGCCTTGAAGATCACAAAAGACCAAGTTCATCACATTTGAGAAGGAAATAAGATTTAATCTTTGTTGATGAATTACCTTACAAATGACTTGATCGTTGTTTTTGGGAGAGAGTCAGTATATGGGTAAAACTCAAATCATACGTTGTTTCTCTCTTAATCACCCATAACCCATATTCCAGATATATAATATGTTATTATTATCTATCCATATTAGTTAAAACTGATAATATCTGTATCCTGAGTGGTTATCCTAAATAGGTTTGAATTCAATTTCAAAACCTATTTGGATAAGGTTCAAATTCAAATTCAAATGGTCATGCCACATGGGCGCCCATTACTAACACCAGCCTTATAGGAACCCCCTCTCCCAATTTGATCACATCAAAATAATCTGACACCAAAAGTGACCATATATAGGAACCCCCCTCCCTCTCAGCCTTATAGGAACCCCCCTTCCTGGCCTTATTTGATTAGTGAAAGAATTAATAAAATTAGCAGGAGATTAGATATCCAATTAAATTAGTGAAATCATTGCCATCAAAATATTCTTTTTTTGCTTTTTTGAAGAAATTAATAAAATATTCCTCTTTAACTTTTAGCTGTAGAAGGGATCTAATATTTTTTCATTAGTTAAGGTTCTCAATAATATTATTAAAAAAATTTCAATTAGTCACATATAAAGATATTTTATATTATTTATCTTATAAAATCTTAATATCAATCCGTTAAACTAAACCCAACTCCCCCTTGGGCCCCCTTTTTTCCATGGAAATTATGATTAACATCTCTTAGACCATCTCCAACCTCAATTCTATCATCGAAAAAAGTCTTAGAGTTCTAACATTTTTATCAAAGTGATATCAAAGAGAGAAGTAGATATTTCATAAAATGGAGGGAGGTTTGATTCTTCATTAAATTTAAATGGTTATCGTTGGACCAGATGTTCACCTAAGGCAATTTCACAATTTTTTTTTTTTTGTTAATCTCCGGATGACCTCTATGACATCTGCCCAGACGTCCTTCCGGACAACTGGGGATATGTAAAAATTTGATGAAAATTTTAATTTTAATATTCAAGTGAACGATATCAAATCAAACATTTCATTAGTTGTTTTAAAATTTTTTATTCAACCTTATAAATGCTCTTAATATTAAAAACAATACTGTTACATCCATTGAATTTGTGGTGGCCAAATTAGTCCGAATGATTTTTTTCTCGACAAGAATTTTTTGTTTTGGAGATTTTTACTAGGAAGAAACTCATTCATACTAATTCAAACAAAATCATTAATCTATTAAAAAAATTTCCGATTTTATCAAATAATAAAATTTACAATGCCCTTGTTTGGCATATTAATTTTAAAGTTAAAAGACTAAAATAATTATAAAAAGATAAAATAAATTAAAAAATTAATATGATAAAATATTGTAGTTAAACTATAATTATTATATTTCTTTCTTAAATAAAAAAATAAAAATAAAATAAAATAAAATAAGCCTTTTTAGGTTGCGCCGGAAAATATTTTGCTTGACGTAGGAAGACTGCTCCGTTCTGTTCGGGAAAACTTATTTTTGCGGGAGCACTATTCATCCCGAGATACTATTCACTGCCGGAAGTTACTATTCATCACGACAATTACTATTCACCTTTCTTGATCGTTATTCATCTTACCAGGCATTTTTTCATCCGCTGTTACTATTCATCGCCGGAGGTACTATTCATCGCCGGAGGTACTATTCATCGTCGGGGTTACTATTCACCGCCGGAAGTTACTATTTACCGTCGGAGGTTACTATTCACCACCGATCACTATTCATTTGGCGGGGTCACATCTTTTAACAAATTAGGTGGTTCGACCAACCATTTAAAGTGATAAAATTACAACAATTTATAAATAGTAAACTACAACATTTTATGTAAATTACAACAGTTTATATACAACAGTAAATTACAGCAAATAAAGTAGTAAAATTAGGTGGTTCAACCAACCATTTAAAGCGATAAAAAAAATTATGAAAAACAATAAATAAAGTACTTAAACAAATTATATCACATTTTGAAATTAAATGAAAGTTTGCAAAAACTCACCTTTCGGGGACATGATGAATTTTCTGATTCACAAACTTTCTTTTGATTACCCTCAAGTCTGTGGAATGTGTTCTCAATTCTCAGTTAAAATTTGGAATTACAACTTTAACAGTTCCTTCTTTCTGATTCTTTTTCTCTCAATATTCCCTCGCACCAATCCCCATTTTTTTATTCTCTCTCCCAATTTTTTGACTCTTGTAATCTCTCCCCCTGCCCAAAAATCCTTCCTTCCTTCTCTGATCTTCCCCCTTTTATAGAAAATAATTGTAAGAAAAAGACAAAAGAAGAAACGGTGGTAGGAATTGTTTTCAAAAGATGCACAGTAAAATTACTATGCACAAAACAATATAAAAATATATAAAA